AAAATAAGAACTGTTATGTTTTATTTACCTAACAATGAGCCATATATATCTACAGACAATAAGATAAAAGGGATAAATAACCAAAGTTACAGTTTTTTACTGGGGCATTACATTTCCTACACTAGCTAATTTAGTGCAAAATCTGGCATATTTGGTTTGATGTAATGGCGTAGCGTTGGCCTAACACCAACTCCTAAATGGAAGCGATGCAAACATCAGATGGTTTCAGTTTTTTTTTCAACGAAGCTATCTTAACCCGCTCCGTGCATCAACAGGTAAACGATGTGTCGCTTGTTTAGAAAAACCATTCACCTGGTTCTATGCTTTCTCCACCTCCAACCTGGTATGGTGGAGCATCTGGCTATGCGATAATAGTCAAGCAACCAACATGATGATATAAAACTAATTTACGAGGTTGAGAAGCGGCACTTCTTACATTATCCACCCCTTTTTCATTAGATTTTGATATTTATGTGTACAAAAGTATTTTTAAAAACAAAATTTCTTAATAATGTGGCCTATAGTGGAGTTAGTTATTTTCATAGACAAACAACCATGTTTTACTAATGACATTTTGATTACTGGAATAAAAGGTATCCAGCAGGCAAACAAAGACTGGCCGAGAAAGCAGTTTACATTTGCATTGTAGGCCTTTAGCTCACGTGTTTATCCACCATGAATTACAGCAGCAGAATGGGCCTCAGCTCCTCAAACACCAACCTCACAGACGACCAACAGGAACGAGGCCGAAGGTCAGGGGTCACAACAGCATGATGAGAGATGGAGCAAACACCCCAGTGAGTCTGACAGGAGATAGGTGTTAATGAAACAAACACAGAAACAGAAAATAAAGACATGGTCTGATGAGAACTGTGTCCTATCCAACCTGTGGATTATACATTTTCCCTTTATGGAGTCATGCTTTAATCCCTGCACTGAACTGGTTATTCCAATTGATTTCCCATGTGTTAATCCGGGTTAAGACTCTGCAAGAAATGCGCCTTTTCAGGACAGAAAATAGGTCAAGTGTCCAGACGTCGTCTTGACCGGCCGCTGTATCCACACCTTCATTTGCATTTTTGACTTTTCATAATTACATACCCAATTATCCCCTGCTTGGTGGCCTAGTTTGCATGGCTGCCTGCAAATAAAGTGGGCGCAAACAGGCTGATTGCCTTTTTTTTCCCAAAGGAGCTGAGCTGGAGGATGAGAAGACATCAGAACTGGATCAGAAATACAAAACGTGGGTTATTTACATGTTTAAAAAGCTCCAGGGTCTGGTAAACAAAGTTTTAAGCCATAGCCACAGACCTCAAGTCAGACTTTAGATCAACAAAGTGGTGGAAGTATTAAGTTGTTTTACTGAAGTAAGTGCAAGTGTTCTCAATTACAAGTGAAAGTTCTCTATTTAAAAATGTACTTAAAGCCGTATTATACGCTAAATGCCATTTAAATCTCAAAAGTAAAAGTTTACATATATTATGCAAGTAAAACAACAAACTGAAGGGTAACTAGTAACAGATGTCACATAAATATAATAAATAAATTAATTAATTAAAGTAAAAGTAGAAATTAAAAAATACAAATATTCAAGTACATTTATCTCAGCACTGTTCACATTCAAGTATTTCAGTACTTACAAAACTGCAGTGAGTCAACAATAGTTAAGTAGATGTGCTTGGGTACAAAACACAAAGCTGGAGTTCTTGACTATCTTCACTTATTTTCTAATTTAAAGAACCAGTGTGTGGGATTTTTTAACAACTAACTGCAACAAACTGAACACTGCTGGTGTCTATATTTGACCTGGGAATGAAAGTGGGCTGTGTAGTGTGTAGAAGGAACTACAGTGGCCACAAAAAACACACAAGGACCTATCTATATTTGGTGTCGTGGAAGGCGACCCGCAGCATCTGTAGATTAAAAACGGCTCATTCTAAAGTAATGAAAACAGAAATCCTTTGTTCAAGATATTATACACTAATGAAAACATACCTATGAATATTACACTTCATTTCTGCCAATAGAAATGTTATACACTGCACCATGTAAATTTCGACATGGTTTAGAAAGACAGATAGTCAAGACAGTTAAAAGATAAGCAAATTAATTAACTATTTTTTTTATTTTAATAATCATCCAGATGATATACCTTTTTCACAGCAGCCATTCTGACATTAAATAGTAGGGTAAATACAGGAGTGAGCAATGATAGTAATTAAGGTTTTGTTCCATTCAGGTCAAACAGAGTCAGGGTTCTGCTATTGTCCATGTTGGCTCACTATAAAGGCTAAATAAAGGCTCATAACATCGGTTTACCCTACTATTTTATGTCAAAATGACAGCTCTGGTACACCCTTCCCCAGGCTACAGTTACAAATTGGTTTAATCCTGGTCCCTCTGGCAGAAACAAACAAGGACATCTGGAATAGGACAATTCAGCGAAAGTAGCGAGTGAATGTTTGAATAAAAGAACACCAATCCTGCAACTAACAGGAGCTTCAAAAATGTTCATAAAGTTAGTAAAAAGTATTCCACCTACCTGTAGTGGTAAGAAGAAGGGTAGAGGAGACATGGGAGGAAACATACTGTGGAGCTGATTGAAATTTGTTTTGTAGTGCCCAAAGCTTAATTTTTTTAATTTAAATTTCATTACATAAATTAACAGTCATGGAGGCTGTAAAGTGTTAAATTGCAATGGATTAATAAAATGATACAAAAAATAGTTATAATTAATTAATTGTATCGACAGATTGAAGTGTGAATAAAATAGTGCAAAGATAATGACATTTGTGAATAAATAAACTGCCTTTAAATAGTGAAAGAAAAAAAAACCGATTTTTATTTAAGTAACCACTTTTACATGTTCATAAAGCAAAGAAAACAAGCTTTTATAAATGAATGTGTGTTTGGTAACCATGAATCACATACATTTCAACTCAAACATTAAAGACAAAACAAACAATCAAAAACAAAAAACCAACAAAAATAAGAAAGGTTTGTATATGTAAATCAAATCAATATTGAGAAATGATTTTCAGTGATTTAAACATTTTATTTGACAGATGTGTTAGTGTTGATGTCCCTTTTGGAATCTGACAGGAACAGATTTTCGTTCAGATCTAAATCTACTAAAGTATCAAAGAACAAACTATGGTGTAAAACCTTCTGGAGGCCCATATATAAACTACATATCAGTACAATACAACAATAATTACTCATCTGTGTATTCACTCTTTCAAACATCTCCAATTAATATTTCTACCTCTGAGCTCGGCCTAAGTCAGGAACCGCTGTTACTGATCACGTTTCAGTGACTGCAACAAGATCATGAGTTAATAAGTAATATCCAAAGTGTAATGAATTTGTAGTGCTTTTCATTTTAGATATTACCCCAATATATTTTAAATGTATCATGGTGTTAATTAAGCATAAAATTGCAATTTGGCAATTTCGTGTTTTTACATGAAAACTAGTGCAGTCCCCCTTCGGATCAGGGCGATTGCTTGCAAGTCCGATCGACTTCAAACCAAACTCAACACTGCACTCCCTCTGCAATACACCCGCCAAGTGTGAGGTCGCTCGGATGAACAGTTCTCAAGATATGCCAATCAATGAAATCCTGGAGGTCCTGATTCAGTGTTAAAGCTGTCAAGCTTAAAAACCACAATTCAAATTGATTTCATTTAAAAAGCAGTTAATGATTCAGCCCCCATCTCAAGATAAAAGTCATCATATCTTCATTATTAATTATTATCTCAGTTTGTTGAAATACATTTTGGAGATCAGCTGTAGATTAAAACCTTTTTGTCCTGGATTTTCCAATTATTAAGAAGAAAAAAGTTTTTGTATTTGGAAAAATGAGAAACTTGGTAAATACTGGTACAGTCTTTAAAAACAGTGCCAGTAACTGCTGTCTGCCATACAAATTGAACAACGTACAATCACTATGGCGTTCAGATTCTATTTAAAATCCTCCACTTGGGCTGTTAAATGTTTCTAAATATTGCACACTGTTAAGTTGTTAATTTAAATTCATTACAAATCAAAAGTTATTGTATTAGTATAACTACTTTTGAGATACTGAGTGTGTGAGGTCATTCAATTACATAAAATACTGTATAAGCACAACAAAAACATGAATTCTGACCAACAAAATTAAAGGATTAACTCATGATCCTGACAAACCAGCAGAAAAAAATCATTAGCAGCTGCTCTCAGTTTCGTTAGTGTTTACTCCGAACAACACGGTGGATGACTACATTGCATGAGATCGTATCTTTGAACTGTTGATGTCGTTTTACAGTTTGGATGTTGGACTTTTGCTCTTTTTGATTTTCAAGAAATACTAAAGAGGGCTAGTAACTAAGGTTTTTCTTGTATCACAGTTTGAAGGTCAGTGCAGTATTGAGCTTGGTTTTCTGGATATTTAAAAAGGACCAGTGTGTAGGATTTAGTGGCGTCTAGCAGTGTAGTTGCAGACTGCAACTCCCTCGCTTCACCCTCCCCTTCCAAGCACGAAGGTCAACCTACAGTGGGCGTTACTGTGGTGCGAGGGTGCGAGACCGAAAGACCATAAGCCACTGATAGACAGGCCTCAAGTCTGTTTCACTCATTGCTGTGGAAATGTTCGAAGCAACTATTTACAATATTTCTGTATCCTGATTGATTTGTTGATATTTTAGTCAGCAATTGTAAAAGACTGCAATGTCATGTCTGTTATGTAATGAAAACATACCGAGTATTATATTCAATTTCTGCCAACAGATCCTCCTAAATGTTACAAACTGGACCTTTAAGTAATCCAAACATCAGTGTTAATGAAGACGCTATTTGAGATGATGGGGAAAAAGACAGCTAAAACTTGGATTATCAAGTTGGACATTTTCAATAAAAACATTGCAGATTTATGATCGCATGAGCGGTTAAAATCATCAGTCTGACTGCCACTGAACTGACTGAATGCTTCACTTTTCATTTTGTTGTAAAATGGTGACAACACTTACAACATCACGGATTAGAGCTGATGTGGTTTTGTTGTATGATGTCAGAACCATTAAGTATGAAGAATATATTCTCAAATCCCAGCCAAAGCTGTTTCTACAGTATATTTACCTGATTAATCAGACATGTTTGTGCTTTTAATGCTTCAAATTACTAGTGCCTAAAATAGTGTTTGATCAGTCGACCTTTTGCACATCTTCACAGAAGAACTTTTCTCTGAAACAGTCGACGCCAGTGAAACTATTTCAGTTTCTCACAGATGACTAAACTCAGATAATATTAAACTGCAACTTACTGAATATTAACACCAGCTGCCTTTTCAGCTTTTTGGCCTAAAACATACAAACATGGTTTTAAAGCAAATAGTCATAAAATTTCATTTCAATAAAATAAAAATAACATTTGACCTTTTCCACTTTCAAACTATTTTTACCCCCTTTAACCATTCACATTTGAAAGATAAATTACATAACTAATATTTATTTTATCAGCCCCAGGCAGAGGTGAGTTAACGATATACTTTTAAACACCGACTATCAGCAGACAGGTGAGTCAGAAGACGATAAAGCTGGTGAAAAGGCATCTGATAGAATGAGGATTTTATAAATTTTTCTGCTGTTGTCGGCTCTACTCCTGCAGGGTGCTCTTGGACATGAAGTAAAGTCCCTCCTCCTTCAGTCGTGCCAGTGCTGGCCCGTATACATCTTTTGTCATCGGAACCACCAGTCCCTTTGTACTGATTTCACCTGTAGAGAGAAACAGAGCAGACTTAGTCTTTGTTCACAAGTTACCCAAACCGGGTATCTTTTGCTCATACGTGACTCAGATCTGTTATTTTCATGACAGTGTGAAGAGCATAAATCACAAAATCTGATCTTTTCAATTCTCATTCTGGGCGACTTTTATATGTGGATACTATCCGTAATCAGACCTGTACCAAAATCAGATACAGGTCTGACTTTCTGTTACGTGACCTCCGTGTGAACAGAATTCAGAATTCACTCTAGATCAGGGCCGTGTCTTCCTGAAAGATCACTTACCATCGAGGACCATGCGAGCACCAATGGCTGCTGGGTATCCTACAGTCTTGGCCATGGCGGAGAAGCCGTTGGGGTCGCCGTAAACCACCAGGCTAATGTGTTTGGTCTCCAGCTCGCCAGTTGGGTGGCGAAGCCCCACATCGTTCCTCATGATGATCATGTCTCGCTCGCCCTTATCTGACCACGAAGAGAGAGAGAGAAGTCATAAGTAGTTTTTGTACTAGTATCACAAACAGTACTTGTGTTCTTCAGAGTTTTGGTAATAAAATGGGCTTGTGTCTCACCGAAGGAGAGTTTGGCTTCCAGATGTTTTGCCAGAGCAGCCACTATGCTGTTGGCGTGTGGCACCAACTCGTCACTCAACATCCCAAACCTGAACACGCAGAGAAACAAAAAAAAACATGATTTTTCTCCCACAATAGAATAACCTTCACAAAGCTGTTTTAAAAGCTTTAGAAGAGAATTACTCTGCTTTAACACTCTGGCAGCGCTGCGGCAGCAGCCCACACATCCTTGACTAAGTCTAAAGAGATGAGCAGTTGCTTTTTGTCACTGTTTTGCTGGTGAATTGAATAAATGAACAAGTCATTTAATTTGAGCTGTGAGTGTGTTGGCTTTTTACTCTTAACGGCACAGATGGAATGTTTCTAACAGTTCACTTCTACAGTTGGAATAATTCACGTTTCAATGCCAGCATGGCCCTCTTCGCTTCACCGCCAGCAGCAGCAGAACAATGGCAGCGTGGAGCCTTGGTCTTGATTTAAATTGAAGAGTGTGCACTCTATACCACTTCAGGCATCCTCATTAGAGAGGGAAGTAATAAGTGTGCAGAAGAGGAGCAGCCTCTGCCTTGTTCTCAGCCTGTCATCCACAGTACCAGCACTAACTTTAAAGAGCAGCAGACGTCAACAGCTACCTCATATGTTCAGAGCCAAGCAGCACAGAACGTCATAGATTGTATAAATGAATGGACGCAGTCTCCGTGACAACGCCCATACAGTAGGTTTCTGGAGAGCAGTTGTGAAGCTCAGTGCGGTCGGCCATCTTGGCAGTTCTGACTCC